CCTCAGGGCGTCCCCCAGCAGGTCGGGCAGGCGCCCGTTGAGGTCCAGCGAGGCCAGGCAGCCCCGGAAGCCCCCCCGGGAGGCCACGAGGCGCGGGAGGCGGCCCAGGAGCCCCGGGCTGACCCCCCCGACGTACAGCTCACCTGGGGGGGCACGGGGAGGGTCACCTGGGGGGGGCACCCACCGCTCTGTGCGCCCCAAAACAGCCTCGGGGGGGGGGTCACCCATGGGGGGCTCCCTCTGTGTCCCATTGTTCCCCCCCCACCCCTGTGATGTCCAGGTGCACCCCGGGTACACCTGGGACACACCTGGGGGGCACCTGGGGGGGGGTGTCACTCGATAGGTGAGGGGAGACCCCCCCCCCGTGGGTACCCCACTGGGGTGACCCCTCCCATCCAGCCCAGGATGATCCCCACAGCTGTGCCCTCCCCCAGGTGTCACCCAGGTGTCATCCAGGTATGCCCCAGCTGCCCCAGGTGTGTCCCAGGTGTATCCCAGGTGTGTCCCAGCTGCCCCAGGTGTGTCCCAGGTGCCCCAGGTGTATCCCAGGTGTGTCCCAGGTGTGCCCAGGTGTGTCCCAGGTGCCCCAGGTGTATCCCAGGTGTGTTCCAGGTGTGCCCAGGTGTGCCCAGATGTGTCCCAGGTGTCCCCAGGTGTACCCCAGGTGTGATCCAGGTGTGTCCCAGCTGCCCCAGGTGTGTCCCAGGTGTGTCCCAGGTGCCCCAGGTATGCCCCGGGTGTATCCCAGATGTGCCCAGGTGTGTCCAGGTGTGTCCCAGGTGTGTTTCAGGTGCGTTCCAGGTGTGCCCAGCTGTCCCCCAGGTGTGTCCCAGATGCCCCAGGTGTGCCCAGGTGTCCCCAGGTGTACCCCAGGTGTAATCCAGGTGTGTCCCAGGTGCCCCAGGTGTGTCCCAGGTGTGTCCAGGTGTGTCCCAGGTGCCCCAGGTATGCCCCGGGTGTATCCCAGGTGTGTGCCAGGTGTGTCCCAGGTGTGCCCAGGTGTATCCCAGGTGTCCCCCAGGTGTATCCCAGGTGTGCACAGGTGTGTTTCAGGTGCGTTCCAGGTGTTCTCAGCTGTCCCCCAGGTGTGTCCCAGGTGTGTCCAGGTGTGTCCCAGGTGCCCCAGGTATGCCCCGGGTGTATCCCAGGTGTGTCCCAGGTGTGCCCAGGTGTATCCCAGGTGTGCCCAGGTGTCCCCCAGGTGTCCCCCGGGTCTCACCCTTGAGCTGCAGCCCGCGGGCGCCCTGCCCGTGCTGGGTCACGGGGTACCCACACACCGGTACCATCCCCCAGGTGTGCCCAGGTGTGTCCCAGGTGTATCCCAGGTGTGCCCAGGTGTGTCTCAGCTGCCCCAGGTGTGCCCAGGTGTGCCCAGGTGTGCCCAGGTGTCCCCCAGGTGTCCCCCGGGTCTCACCCTTGAGCTGCAGCCCGCGGGCGCCCTGCCCGTGCTGGGTCACGGGGTACCCACACACCGGTACCCTCCCCCAGGTGTGCCCAGGTGTGCCCAGGTGTATCCCAGGTGTCCCCCAGGTGTCCCCCGGGTCTCACCCTTGAGCTGCAGCCCGCGGGCGCCCTGCCCGTGCTGGGTCACGGGGTACCCACACACCGGTACCATCCCCCAGGTGTGCCCAGGTGTGCCCAGGTGTATCCCAGGTGTCCCCCAGGTGTCCCCCGGGTCTCACCCTTGAGCTGCAGCCCGCGGGCGCCCTGCCCGTGCTGGGTCACGGGTCTCCCGTCCACGCGCAGCGCGTGCAGGGCCCCCCCCTCCCGTGCCACGGCCACCTCGTGCCAGCGCCCGTCGTGCAGCGGCTGCTCCGAGTTGCCCTTCATGAGCGAGGGGCCCTCGCCCAGGTCGAACACGTAGTGGATGTACCTGGAAGGGGGCGTGGCCTCGTGGGGCGTGGCCGGGGGGGCTCACCTGAGGCCGGGGGCTCACCAGGGACCCCCCCCCCACCCAAATTCAGGGAGGGTAACTGGGCCGGGGGCGTGGCCAAAGGTGGAGGTGGGGCCACAGTTGGGTGTGGTCGTTGTGGGCGTGGCTTGAGCCATGGGGGCGGAGCCTAAGGCTGGGGTGGGGGGGGTCCCTGAGGGCTGAGGGGGTCCCAAGGCTCAAAGAGGTTCAGGAGGTCCCCAGGGGGGTCTCCAGGGCCCCCCCAGGGCACCCAGGAGGTCCCTGGGAGGTTCAGGAGGTCCCTGGGTGGT